GGAGGGAGATGAGTGTTTGTCGAGTGAACAATGGGGAGCAGGATGGGAAGTGAGGGTGGGAAACCCAGTTTGCAGCAAGGCTGGGGGTTTAGCACTGTCTCCTCTGGAGAAACCCAGGGCCTGGGCCGGGGGGGGCCTCCGGCAGGCACCCTGGAAGACCCCACCACCTAGACACCCCCTTCTGGAACTCTCCCAGCTGCTGAGCCCCACCCAGCCCGGGGCCCCTCAGGAGAGAGGGGGCTGGAGGCCTGGGCGTGGTGCCACTGCGTTCATGGGGGGCAGTGAATAGTTCCCACCCCCTCACCCCTGCCATGGGGGCAGCAACTGCCGCTCTCCAGCCGAGGACCGTATTCAAATCTCTGCAGAAGCGGCGCCTGGACTATTTTTAGCCGACTCCGAGGCGGTTGATCTGAGGCTGCCTGGAGCAGGGAGCAGCGGGGGTAGCTCCGAGCCGGCTGCGGGCCCCCTGGGACCCTGTGAGTCTAGCGGGGGCCCTCTCCCGGGTGCGGGGGGTGGGGTCCTGTGCTCTGTTCTGCCCCACCGCTGGGGGGCCTGGCAGCCTCTTCCTCTGGGATGCCCCTTCCTCCTTTGCTGTTGCAGGTACATGGGGGTCGCACGCACGCCTGGCTGCAGGGCATGTGGGCAGCCCGGGGATCAAACTCAAGACCTCAGGCTGGCAAGGCAGATGCCCGAGCCACGAGCCAACCCCGGGCTTCCGGGGCTTTTATGCTTCCTGATGGTCAGGCGGGGGCCAGGGGCTCCTGTCTCGGCCCTACAGCTGGTGGTCACTCACCCCAGTCTCGAGGCCTCGCACATGTTCGGACGGGCTCTGCCGTGCTCAGCCCGCTGCCCGCTCGGGTCCCTTGGTCTTGGTTTCCTGCGGCCGCTCTCTGATCACCCCTCCCTCGGCCTCCGCTCGTGGGCTGGGGGTCAGCGCGGGAGGGACGGCGTGGGCCGGGCGCCCGCCCCGTGTGCCTGTGTCTATAATAGTGTTTGTGTGGGAGCAAATCTGTGTCATTCCACATTTGTCCAAACCCAGCTCTGCACGCTGCCCTGAAGCAGCCGCGGGGCCGGGGAGATACATCCCTCAGTCATTGTCACACCGGGCCCTGCGGGGAGGGGGGGGGGGAGGAGAGGGGGGGACATGCGGGGCGAGGGCAGAGGCTCATGGGAAAGCGGTCGCACTCCTCAGCCTTGCAGTGAAGCTAGAGCTGCTCTAGAAAGGGTGGGGTGGCGCTCCTGAACCTGTTCCTCCTCCTCTCTCCTCCCATCTTCCCGCGGCTGTTTCTGGGTCATACCCCGCGGTGCTCAGGGCGCACACCTGCCTCTGTGCTCAGGAGTCACTCCCGGCAGACTGAGCTCAGACCCAGGCAGGTGTCTTCCCCACAGGACTATTGCCTCAGCCTCCTCCCCTCACATCTTTCTAAGTAAAATCTTCAACAATTAAAAACTATTCTGCTTTATCATTTCACACCACAAGACTGGCCCACATCCAAAAGAACAAAAGCAACCGGTGCTGGCGCGGATGTGGTGAGAAAGGGACACTCCTTCACTGTTGGTGGGAATGCCGACTGGTTCAGCCCTTTTGGAAAACAGTATGAACGATTCTCAAAAATTAGAAATTGAGCTCCCATTTGACCCAGCGATACCACTCCTGGGAATATATCCCAAAGAGGCAAAAATGTATAGTCGAAGTGACATCTGCACTTGTTTGTTCATGGCAGCACTCTTTACAATAGCCAAAAACTGGAAAAAAACTGAGTGCCCGAGAACAGATGACTGGTTAAAGAAACTTTGGTACATTTACACAATGGAGTACTATGTAGCTGTTAGAAAAGATGAAGTCATGAAATTTACGTACAAGTGGTACTACATGGAAAGTATCATGTTACGAGAAATGAGTCAGAAAGACAGGGACAGACATAGAAAGAATTCATTCATCTGGGGAACATAAAGTAACAAAATAGGAGACTAACATCCAAGAATAGTCGAGGTAAGTACCAGGAGGTTTACTCCATGGCTTGGAGGCCAGCCACACACTCTAGGGGTAAAGACAGCTCAGATAGAGAAGGGAGCACCAAATAAAGGGTATTGGGAAGATCCTCCCAGGATGGGAAACGCATGCTGAAAGTAGACTATAGGCCGAACATGGTTGCCACTCAATGCCTCTTTTGCAAACCACAGCACCCAAAAGGGCAGAGAGAACAAAAGGGAATGCCCTGCCACAGAGGCAGAATGGGATGTGGGGGAGAGGGGGGTGGGAGGGATACTGGGATCCGTGGTGGTGGAGAATGGGCGCCGGTGGAGGGATGGGTACTCGATCATTGTATAACTGAAACCCAAGCACAAAAATTTGTAAGTCTACAACTGTACTTCATGGTGTTTCACTAATAAAAATTAAAAAAAAAAACTATTCTGCTTTAATAGTTGTCGCACTGTAGCACTGTCCTCCCATTGTTCATCCATCTGCTCGAGTGGGCACCAGTATAATGTCTCCATGGTGAGACTTGTTGTTACTGTGTTTGGCATGTTGAACACGTCACAGGGAGCTTGCCAGGCTTTGCCGTGCCGGCGGGATACTCTCAGTAGCTTGCCGGGCTCTCCAAGAGAACAAAGGAATCAAACCCGGGTCGGCCTCATGCAAGACAAACGCCCTACCCACTATGCTATTGCTCCAGACCTTCTGCTTTAAAAATATTTTTAAAAATAAATAAAAAGGACGAACATGATTGCCACTCGATGCCTCTTTTGCAAACCACAACACCCAAACGGAGAGAGAGAACAAAAGGGAATGCCCTGCCACAGAGGCAGGGTGGGATGGGGGGATGGGGGTGGGAGGGACACTGGGATTCGTGGTGGTGGAGAATGGGCACTGGTGGAGGGATGGGTATTTGATCATTGTATAACTAAAACCCAAGCACAAAAAATTGTAAGTCTGGGGCTGGAGTGATACCACAGCAGGCAGGGCGTTTGCCTTGCACGCAGCCAAAATGGTTGACATAGGTTCGATTCCCAGCATCCCATATGGTCCCCCGAGCACCGCCAGGGGTGATTCCCGGGTGCATGAGCTAGGATCAACCCCTGAGCATAGCCGAGTGTGACCCAAAAAGCAAAAAAAGAAAAAAATTGTAAGTCTACACCTGTACCTCATGGTGTTTCACTAATAAAAATTTTTTTTAAAAAGTTGAAAAACTAAATAAATAAATAAATAAATGAAAGGGGAAAAGGCCTGGGCTAGAGGGATACAGCGGGGAGGGCGTTTGCCTTCCACACAGCCGATCCGAGTTCAATCCCTGGCATCCCATAGGGTCCCTCAAGCACTGCCAGGAGAAACCCCTGAGCATCGCTGGTGTGCCCCACGCCCCAAAAGAGAGGCCTGTATCTGCCACAGCCTCTCCAGACTGCTGCGTGCCCTGCCCCCACCCTGTCTCCACAATGCAACCACGGCCCCTGCCACCACAGCCCCCCATGAGCTAGACCCCCCTGGCGACAGCCCTCTGCAGCCTCAGCCCCTCAGTGGCTCCACCTGCCAGAGGTTCCTTGGCTCCCAGTCCCTGGTGACAGCCCCGAAGCCTGGAGCCCTGGTGCTGGTGCGGAGAACAGAGCAGTCCAAGTGGCGAGCCCCTCAGACACAGGGTCCCCAAGGGCACTGTGGCTGGGGGGCTGGGCTGGGGGGGGTGCCCCAGGGTCACTCGATCCTCAGCAATGTGAAATGACCCATTGTGAATGGGAAATGATGGCTTCACAGTGAAGCCCACTCAGCGCTCACTCACTGTGTGACCTCAGACAAGTGATTGGAGTCTCTGTGCTGAGTCATGTGTGTGGCCATGCAGGACAGCCCCACGCAGTGGCACTGCACATACTACAGATGCCCAGTCATGAGGATCCTCCTTGGCCTCGAGTGTCCGTGTGCCCCGGCCAGGCTGCAGGAGGTGGGCGCGATGTTGCTCGGGGCGCCAGGACCAGGGGGCTTGGAGACAGAGGGACCATCTTGGCTGACGGGGGATGCTCCCTGACGGTATGGCAGGGAGACCCAGGGAGCACCCCACCCCAAGCCCCCCTGGTTCCAGGCAGCCCCGGGGAAAAGACAAGAAAGTCCAGCTCCTCCTTGCTCCACACATCCCGATAAAATATTTATTATTTCAAGAAATAAATCTTTAAAAAAAAGAGAGAAGAGTCTCTATTGCTTCCCCAACAGCTGAGTGCTGGGGACCGTGGGGTCACGGGGTCACTGGGGCCCCGGGTCCAGTGAGGGCCCCTGAGTGAGCATTAGCATCAATCTCCAGCTCTGGGGGTGCTTGTTCTCCCTGGCAGAGGGCCGCTGGGGTCCAAGTGGGGTGGGCGGGAAAGGGGTCAGAGATCGGAGGGGGGGTGGCAGTGATTCTGGAGCCTGACAGGTCAATCAGGCCAGGCTGGGGTGGAGGTGAGAGCAGGGGGCAGGCGGGCCGCAGGGGTGAAGGTGGGCAGGGCAGGGCGAGCCTGAGGGAGGAAGCCGGGAACCCGCAGGCACTGGGCCCTCCCCAGCTCTGACCAGGTAGATGCTGGGGCCATTTAGGAGCCCTCCTGGACTCTCCAGGACCGAGGCGGGACGGGGATGAAGGCTTGAGAGGTCTGGGGTCTGGAATCCAAGTCATGCCAGGGGGGGCGATGCCCGGAGAGAAGGTGGGACAAGCAGGAGGGCAACCCAGGTCCGGGTTGACCCTGGACCCGGGGTTCGAGGGAGGGCGTTTGGGCGGAGGGGGGACCCTTTCTGGTCTTCTCCAGCCCCTGCCCCTTCTGTCCGCACCCCCAGCTACTCCAGAGGGACAGACTGACCCTCATGTCGCGCTCTCACGCCCTGACCATCTCGGGTGCCACCTGGCCTGCGCGGACCTCGCCGTGTCTCCTGCACCCAGAGGCCTCTGTCCATCCCGGGGGGGCCTCAGACCACCAGCGCGGTCCCAGGAGACGGCGGAGCCCCGGTGGGCGGCGCCTCGCCCTGCATCTGCCCGCGGGGGGCTCCGCGCAGCGGCTCACAGGCAGTCCTGGCACAGGGCCACCTGGCCCTTGCGGAAGTCCCGGCAGGGGCACAGCCGGCGGTACTTGGTGCTGGCGCCCGCGCAGCTGAAGAGCAGGGCGTCCTTCTGCAGAAAGCACTCCTGGCCGGGCTGCGCGAAGGCCGGGTACAGGTGGCTCATCTCCGACTCGGTGCTGTCACAGGGCACCTGCAGCCTGGTGGGGCAGGCACCGAGAGCTGAGACGGGGCTCGGGCTGGCCCTGCCGCACGGCAGCCCCGCCCTCCCACCAGACCACGCCCCGTCTGCCCCGCCCCACGCTCCCATTGGCCCTGCCCCTTCCTCCTATCAGGCCCCGCCCTCCTGTCTGACCTTGCCCCTTCCTCCCACCAGGCTCCGCCCTCCTGTCTGGCCTGTCCTACAGTCCCATCAGGCCCCGCCACTCACTCCATAGGGCTCCGCCCCTTACTCCCATAGGCCCCGCCCCCATATCCTGACCCCGCCCCTCCCTCTCGTCTTGCCTGCCCCCACATCCTGACTCCGTCCCTTCCTCCCGTCTGACCCCACCCCTACACTCTAACCCCGCCCCTCCCTCCCGTCTGGCCCCGACCCTACATCCTGACCCCGCCCCTCCTTCTCGTCTGACCCCGCCCCCACCCCGTCCCTCCCCTCTGACCCCGCCCCTCCCTCTTGCCTTGCCCCGCCCCCACGTCCTGACCCCGCCCCTCTCCCGTCTGGCCCCGCCCCTACATCCAGGCCCCTCCCTTCATACCCTGGGGGGGGCGTTGTCCCCCCCCACCCCTCCCAGCGAATGCCCCCTGGGCTGCCCCTTCGGTCCAGCCTTGGAGGCCGGAAGCTTAGAGGTGGGGGGTTGGACGGGCCGGGGCAGGGGAAGGACGTGAGCAGGCAGGGCAGCGGGCACTCACGTGCGGAAGGCGGCGCGGCTGTTGAGGAAGGGGAAGAAGGCGGGCTCGCAGACCAGCCCGTGGTCCAGGCAGGCGTCGGTGCAGGCCCGGCCCTCGGCCGCCAGCCAGGCGCGCAGGGAGCGCGCGGGGGGCCAGGTCCCGGGGCTCAGGCTGGCGTTCCGCGCCCACTCCAGGTGGCTGGCGTTGGGAGCCAGCACCAGGGTGCCCTGCGGGGCCGGGGTTCCCGGGGACACCGGGCTGGGAGCCGTGCAGAAGTCCTGCCCGCGGGAGAGCGGGGTTAGCAGGGGGGCCGGGCGCCTCTCATCCGTGGGCTCAGGGCACTGCAGTGCCCAGCGAGCTTCTGCCCACGGAGTCCTGCCCACCAACCGATCCTGCCAGGGGTCCCGGCCTTGGAGTTTTCAGGGTGCACTGCACTCCCAAGAGCTTACCCCCAGCCCCTTGGGGATCCCATGGGGGGTAGGAGGCACAGCCTGACTCTGCCCATCCTGGGCTGGGGCCCACGGCTTCAGGCGTCTCCTTCAGTAGCTCGGCCAAATGCTGAGCTTTGTTTGGATTGGGGGCCGCACTCCGCGGTTCTCAGGGGCTTCTGGGCGGGTGGGGGGGTGGGCGAATTGGGGTGGGGGGGAGCTGAGAACGGATCCAGCCTCTTGCATGCAACCCCTGAACTCATCCCACCCTACAGGCCTACAAGCCGGTGCTGTGAGGACCAGGGCAGTGGGGTAACCCCCAAGCCCAGCCCCCCCCCTGCAGGGCTCACACCCCATCTTGCAGGGACATGGCCCCCTCCCTCCCAGCCCGCCCCCTACCTGGTGTTGGATGTAGGCGTGCAGCCGCTCCAGCATGCCCTCGCATGTGTACTCGTAGGGGAGGTAGGGGTCTACCTGTGGGGGAGGCACCTGGTTTGGAGGCGCCCGAAGCGGGAAGGCCTGGAGGCTCTCACACCCCCCAGCCCTGCCCCAGGCACTTGAGAGTCCAGCTGGCCCCTGGGGTTCAACCCTGCCGTCCCTCCCCTGTGCACTGCTCCCCATCCCACCCCGGGGCAGACGCCTGCTCCTCAGACACCCAGGTCGTGGCATCCTCCCCTTGTGGGGTCACCCCTCCCAGGAAGTCCTCCGGACCCCTCTTACCCAGGACTCGCACCCGCGTCATCCTGTGTCCTCCAGGTCCCTGTCACTGTCTGTCCTCACCAATACCTGCTCATCGTGCCGTGCGGGGCCCCAGGGGACACCTGGCAGGTGGGGCATCTCCGACCTCACACACGGCCCCGGGTGCCTGGGACTCAATGGCACCCCCAGTGCGCCTGCGTGCTGCCCCAGACGAGGCCATAGGAACAGGGGGCGTCTGGCTCCCGGCCACGGGGTACCCCTGTCCAGACCAGGCTCCCGGAGGATGCTAGGTGGGGCGGCCCAGGGAGCAGCCAGGCGCACGCTCGCTGGCCAGGGCAGAAGGAAGCTGAGTCCCTGGCTGGCACTGTGGGTGTGCGTCCCAAGAAAGGAGACCCCAGGGCCCCCGGAAAGCTGTAGTCACTCTGGCCCTATCCTGCCACCAGCTCTCAGCCAGTCCTAACCTGACCTCTGTCCCCTGACCTGCATCCTTGTCCTCAGGTCCTGGGTCGGGGAATGAGGGTTTGGATCCAGGGCAATTCCCAAGGACCCGGGGTGCTGCCTGTAGCCCCTTCCCCTGCCCAGCAGCTGCAGTGACACCTTGGGGCTGTAACAGTCTCGGAGCATGCAGGGTCAAGCCCAGACTAGCCATCAAAGCCCCAGAGCTGGGTCGGGGGCTGTCATGGGTGCTAAGGCACTGACCTTGTGACCTTACGGGGTTAGAGCCCCGACACCCAGTAAGGTCCCCCGAGCCCCTCCAGAAGTGGCCATTGAGCTCAAATCCAGGAGTACGCCCTGAACACCGGGTGTCGCCCCAGAGACCCTCTGTCAGCGTGGCCCCACCGTGGCACCCCCACAACACACGTGACTCTGGGTGGGGTGCAACGGAAGCCCCATGGCCACGTGATTCCAAGGTCCTGGTGAGTGGGGCCTGGCCACCTGTCCCACTGTCCCAGGGATGGCGGGCCTGGCCACAGGACATGTGCCCCAGAGCAGGGACAGGCCGCGGGGACGGGCGCTGGGCTCAAGAGGCCTCACCCCAGGTGAGACGCCAGCGGGGAGCCCCAAGAGGGCAGGAGGGGCTCCCGGGGTGCAGCCGGCTCGCCCCCTTGGGCCCTGCGAGCGGCCCCTAAATCTCTTTACTGAAATAGCATGAAAGGGCCCAGCCACTCGCCTCCGGCCACACAGCCTGGGGTGCCCGTGGGGCTCCCGGGGCTTCGCAGGCAGTGCTGGGGCTGAGGGAGGCCGCAGGGTCCTGTCTGGCCGTGACCGGCTGAAAGGCTCAGGGTTTCCCTGGGATTTTTGTTTGGGGGAACATATGGCAGTGCTCAGGACTTACTCTTGGCTCTGCACTCAGGGGTCTTTCCTGATGAGATCTGGGGGACCCTATGGGGTGCCAGGGATCAAGCCTGGGTGAACTGTGTGCAAAGCCAGCGCCTTCCCACTGCACATTTTCGTTTCATTTTGGTTTTGGTTTTGGGCCACGGCCGGGGGTGCTCCGAGCTGACTCCTGGCTCAGTGCCCAGGAATCACTCCTGGTGGTGCTCGGGAAATTGAACCCGTGTCACCTGCGTACAAGGCAAACGCCCTCCCCGCTGTCCCTTCGCTCTGGCCCCTCTCCTGGGCATCTAGATCCTCTTAATACTGTACTTTTTTAATTAGTTAATGAACAAATTGAACAGATGTCCATGTTAAAGACTATCCAACAGAAAAGCAATAAAAGCTCATTTGCCTCCTGCCCCAGAGGCTAGCCTGGCCCCAAGGCAGCCACCGCCACAGAGTTCTTGTGTGAGCAACCAGAAATAACACAGCACGGAGACCGGCCCAGACACACACAGGCACACGGGTACATGTACACACACACACACACACGGGTGTACACACGGGCACATGTGCACACGGGAGTATAGACACACGTGAACACTGGCATAAATACAAAGGTAGATGCATACACACACAAGTGTACACACAAACACACAGGCACATATACACATGGGTGTACACATAGGCACACAAGGGCGTACACACAGGTGCACATGCACATGGTGTGTATGCACACACAGGCGCACGTGTGCACGGGTATACACGCACTGACAGGAGCATGTGTGCATGGGTGTACATGCACACACAAGTTCACATTTGCCCAGGTATACACACAGGTGCGTGTGTGCACCAGTGTACATACACAGGGGCATGGGTGTACAGGCAGAGACAGGCAGCCGCACACAGCAGGGGCTCCTACCTGGGTGCTCAGGATGGCCTGGATGGCAGCCTCGAATTCCCCTGAGTTGTTGTAGTCCACGGTCCACACGTGCGGCTTGCCAATGAACTTCTCTGCGTAGGGGTGCTGCGAGAACACCTGGGGGCACAGGCGGCGGCTGCTGGGCCTCCGTGGGGGCCGAGGGGCAGGGGCGTCCCACCTGGCCCGCCCAGCCCCCCACTCACCTCCCTGGAGGTGGGCTTCCCCCGGAAGAACTCGTGGTTGAGGGAGCTGTGCGGTGGCCGGAAGCCGGCCTGCAGGAACACACAGCCATTGGCGATGGCCTCCAGCGGCGCTGGGCCCTCGTAGGGGAAGCCGAACCCGATGAAGAGCTGAGGGTGGAAGGAGAGTGAGCTCGGGAGGAGCCAAGGGAGGCCGAACGCGGGCGGGGAGGACATTCTGGGCCGCCCAGCAGGGCCCAGTTCCCCCGCGTGGGAAGGGAGGAGGAATCCAGAGCTCTGGCTCTGGTCGGCTGAGATTCCAGAGGGACAAGAGAAGAGGGAAAGGGTCCAGGGTAACCTCGACTGCTGACCTCAAAGGGCCTCGAACCATCGCAGAGAATAAGTCCAAGTTAGGGCCGCCATGTGCAGTGGGGCAGGTTGCACACTGAACAAAGGAACCTTCCCCCCACCACCACCACCTCCCTCTTTCACACATTCCCATGCGCACAGACACACTCATACTCATGCACGACACTTGGAGAAGTCGGGGAAGTGACGGGAGAGCGGGGAGGCCTAGGACCGAGCAGGCATGCCCGCAGCTGCCCACGGCTGGCTCACTTTGGCTTTGCGTAGCAGCTGCTGGAACTCGGGCTGCGGCAGGAGGCCATGGTTCTTCACGAAGGCCGGCACCTCGGGGGGCCGCTGGCTCTCATAGTACACCGTGCCGTGGATCTCCATGTATTTGTTCAGGATGCCCAGGAACTTCTCCTTGCCCTGGAGGGTGAGACGGAGGCCGTGAGGCACCCGAGCTGGCCTTGTGGCCCCTGATCGGGAGGCTGACGGGGCTGGACTGCGGCCTCGGGTCGAGAGACAGCCCCGGGCCCCTGGGGAACAGGCAGTGCCGCCTTGTGGAGTCATCCGACTTCTGACTCCGGGGACACCAGCGGCTCCCGGGAGCCAGACCTCAGTTCACTCCTCACCCACCCGGCACTGACCCCTCGGCCTTTGGTTTTACTTATTTGGGCCACACCTGGCTGTGCTCAGGGGACAAGTGGGAGCCAGGAGTCAAACCTGCAGTGGCCGCAGGTAAGGCAGGAACACTGCGTGAGCGCTCCAGCCCTGCCCGCTCTCACCACCTGCCTACCCATCCTGTGCCCACCCACCCTGTGCCCACCCACCCACCCACCAGCTATCTACCCCTTTCAGCCACCTTCCCCCTCCCCCTCCCTCCCGGCACCCGGCTGTCCATCCATCCATTCACCCACATACCCAGTGGCGTATCCTTCCTGCCACCCACCACTGGCGTGCCCTCCCATCCGACTACCCACCCCTCGCCCCATCAGTGCAGTGTGTATTGACGGGGCACCTGTCACGGAGTGACGCTGTGCCTGATGCCGGGAGCACGGCAGAGAGCAGAGCGCTGGCGTTCCTGGGGGACCCGCAAGCCAAACATCCCCAGACTAGCCGAGGCTGGGCTGCACCTCCCATCCCTGGGCCAGGGCCTCGGGGACCAGCCCCGCTGCGGGGGGGGTGGGTGCAGGGACGGAAGGGGTCACTCCTTGTGATGGCCTCTCGGGCTCCCTAGTAACCCACACAGACACTGTCTCGGCACCCAGGGATGCGGGGGCCCTCACGGTGGCGTGGGGTGCCTGAGCTCTGTGTCACCACCCACGTGGAGCAGCTCTGCCCCAGGTCTCTGCCACCGGGTCGGGGGGAGGCTGAGCTCGAGGAGTCCCAGTCGAGGGGTGGGGTGGGAAGGGGCCCAGAGAGAGTGCAGCCCACCTTAGCCGGCGCTTCTGGGAGGGCCCGAAACCCACCCAAGGGCCCAGAACTCTGAGGCAACATCCAGCAGAGAAGGAGCCTCTGCGGCCCTTGTCCCGGTGTTCCTGTGTCCCCGGGCTGCCCATGTCCCCGCAGCCAGGCGTCACCAGGCTGAGGGTCCCATGGAGAGGCTCTGGGGGCTCCCGTGGAAGAGAGGCAGGCCAGATCTGGGGGAAAACCTCCCCATCCTGTGTCTGATCGAGGAGATTTGGAGTTCTGGGGCTCCCAGACGCGTCAAGCATGGCAGAGTGGCGTTCTTGACCTCAGGAGAGACTCACTAAGTTTCCAGAACCCAAACCACGAGGAGCAAGAAATCCCCACTGGAGGGGCTTGGGACGGAACAGGACACACGAGGAAGCGGGCGGGTAGGCCTGGTGACCAGCCCCCACGCCCACTACAGCAGGGATGCAGACAGAGAGACCAACCTGTGGGACAGACCAGCCCGGAGACAGACCCACATGTGCAGCCTGGGAGAGGCGTGGGAGCATCAGGGAGGGGAGACCCGGGTGCGAGCAGACGATGGGAGACACCCAGGCAACAGTGCTAATGGAAACCGGGGCGGGGCGGGGGGCGGGCGTTCACACAGGCCAGCAGAAAGCCCCGTCTCTGCAGCTCTGGGCCGGGAGTGCAGATGGTAGAAAGGCTGGGTGGGGTGGAGATGAAGCCCTGCCGCTCCGGGGAAGACGGGCTGCAAGCTACTAGAAGATATTTCCAAAGCATATGTTTGACAAAGGACTCACCTTCGGAATATATATATCTATATCTATATATATATATATATGTAGCACTGTCCTCCCATTGTTCATCGATTTGCTCGAGTGGGCACCAGTAATGTCTCCATTGTGAGACTCGTTGTTGCTGTTTTGGGTATATCAAATATGCCACGGGGAGCTTGCCAGGCTTTGCCGTGTGGGCAACTTAGTCTCGACAGCTTGCCGGGCTCTCCGAGCGGGGTGGAGGAACCGAACCCGGGTCGCCCGGGTTGGCTGCACGCAAGGCAAACGCCCTACCCAGCTGGAGTGGAGATATATATATATATAATATATACAAAACCCAGCCCGGAGAGAGCATGGCGGGGAGGGCGCCGGCTCCGCACACGGCCAGGCCAGGTTTGATCCCATCACCCCAGAGGAACCCCGACCCCCGCCAGGAGTGAGCCCTGAGCACAGCTGGGCAGGGCCCCCCCAAATAAATAAATAAATAAATAAATAAAAGCACAAGAGAAAATAAAAGGAAAGAGTGATCTGAAACACAGGCACCCGAAGTAGAAGCCGAAACAAGAGCAGCGTGTGGAACAGGCCGGAAGGAATGAAAAGTGGGGGTCCGCAGCGACTGCAGTCCTGTCCCCCGCCCTCGCTGCATCCCAGCCCCTGTCCTCCACCTGCCCGGTGCCCATTTTGGGAAACGGCTCTCTGGCACCGGGGGCCAGCGCAGACACCCCGTGCCAGAGACCAGCCCTTCCCTCCCGCCCCTCGCCTCTCCCTGCGGGTGGGCCCATAATCGTTTTCCAGAAAGGCAGAGGTGCTCCGTGCCCTCCTTCCCACAAAGGGCACAGCTTGCTGTCCCTGCTGCCCGTTGGCCCCACATGGCAGCTACTGACACCCGGCTGGGTCCCGGGCGCCCCACACTGCAGGGCTTGGGGGGACTGGTCAGGCTGAGTCCCACCCGCGTGTCACTCAGCCCCGGCCCTGGGCTCCTCCCGTGTAGCGTGGCAAGTGCGGTCATGGCAGGCCGGGTGAGAAACCCACGGACCCCGCCGTGTGCGAGCGTTTCCAGAGGGGCAGGAGGGCTGTCCAGGGCTCTTTTCCCTCCCCAGCACAGGGTGTCCGTGGGAACAGGGAGCCAGAGCGGGCAGGGGCTTCAAAACTAAACAGGACAAGGGGTTGAAGAGATAGCACAGCGGGTAGGGCGTTTGCCTTGCACGCAGCCAACCCGGGTTCGATTCCCAGCATCCCATATGGTCCCCCGAGCACCGCCAGGAGTAACTCCTGAGTGCAGAGCCAGGAGTAACCCCTATGCATCGCCGGGTGTGACCCAAAAAGCAAAAAAAAAACTAAACAGGACAGGTGGAGCGACAGGGAAAGGGCCCTCAGGAGACTCCCAGCACCCGGATGACAGCCCCATGTTCAAGAATAGACAAAACTCCAGGTGACGGGGCAAGAGCACAGCAGGGAGGGTGCTGGCCTTGCACACGGCCCACCCAGGCTCGATCCCAGCACCCCATAGGGTCCCCGGAGCCAGCCAGGAGTGACCCCTGAGTGCAGAGCCAGTCCTGAGCACCGCCGGGTGTAGCCCAAAACTTAGAAAACAGAGGGGAGGAGCGATAGCACAGCAGGGAGGGTGTTTGCCTTATACACGGCTGACCTGGGTTCGATCCCCAGCATCCCATAGGGTCCCCCGAGCACCGCCAGGAGTAATTCCTAAGCACAGAAGCAGGAGTAACCCCTGAGCATTGTAGGGTGTGATCCCCCCCAAAAAAAAGGAAAACAGAGAGCTGTCCCCTGGGCGGAGGGGTCCCAGCCACGTGGTGCGCAGTTGCTGCCTGCGGTTCTGCATCTGCAGCAGCATCAGCTTGGTAGCGATGCAGGTGGGCACAGGTGGGAAGGTGTGAGGAAGCCACTGAGGGGCTGGGACACCCCCGGTCCTGGCATCCGGGATGAGTGTGGTACGTGAGTGTGGTCGTGCCTGTGGGTCGTGAGCGGGTGTGAGAAATTTGTGTCCGTGTGAGACTGAGCAGGATGCAACATGGCGAGAGTGTGTGTGGACGTGGTGTTTGTGAGAGTGTTTGTGAGTGTGTGTGAGTGTGTGAGACTGTGTAGTATGAGTGTGTAAGAGAGTGTGTAGTGTGTGATACTGTGTGTAGTTGGAGTATAAAACTACGTGTGTAAGACTGTGTGAATGTGTAAGAGAGACAGTGTGTAGTGTGAGTGTAAAACTGTGTATGAGACTGTGTGAGTATGTGTGGTATATGTGATACTGTGTGTAGTATGAGTGTGTGTGAGTGAAATAATGTGATTGTGAAACCGTGTGAAACTCTATGTGAGTGTGTTGTTGTGTGGAGTGTTGCTGTGTAGAGTGTGGTGTGCGTGAGACTGTGTGTGTGAGAGTGTGTGTTGTTGACTGTGGTGTGTGTGAGTTTTTTTATGGTGTGTGTTAGACTGTGTGAGAGTGTGTTGTTGTGTTGAGTGTGGTGTGTGTGACTGTGTGTATGTGAGACTGTGTTGTGTGTAGTGTGGTGTATGTGAGACTGTGTGTGAGAGTGTGTAGAGTGTGGTGTGTGTGAGATTGTGTGTGAGAGTTGGTGTGTGGAATGTGATATGAGTGTGTGAGAGTGTTGGTATGTGGAGTGTGGTGTGTGTGAGACTGTGTGAGAGAGTGTGTGTTGGTGTGTGGAGTGTGGTGTGTGTGAGGCTGTGTGTGAGAGTGTTGGTGTGTGGAATGTGGTTTGAGTGTGTGTGAGAGTGTGTTGGTGTGTGGAGTGTGGTGTGTGTGAGACTGTGTGTGAGAGTGTTGGTGTATGGAATGTGGTATGAGTGTGTGTGTGTGAGAGTGTGTTGGTGTGTGAGTGTGTGCGTGTGTAAGGTCAGTCCATCGGGGATATTCACCACCCAGGGCCTATGTCCCCCCCAGGCCTGGAGCCCGTCACTGGGAAGCTCTCCCGGGGGGTGCCCAGGGTCTCGGGGCGAGGGACAGAGTGCCCGGCGGGCGTGGCTCACGGTGCTCACCTTCCAGATGCTGGCCTCCTTGCCGTACACCACGGCCATGGTGCTGCTCTTGGCGCCTGTGACCAGCTGCCTCTCGGGGCCACTCAGCTCCTCCAGCACGAAGCCCATGAAGGAGTTGTCGGGGGTGTGAGCTGTGGCCACACAGGTGGTCAGCAGGGGCGGGGACGCCTCCCCCCACAGACTCTCCCAGGGCAGAGGGGGCCCCCTGCTAACTCGGGACAGGGAAACTGAGGCCCAAGCCACGTGATGCTCAGCCCAGGTCCCTGTGCCCACCAGGCGTGTCTGAGGCAGTTCCCGGACCCTACACTAGGCTGGGCTCGTCTCCTCCTGAGCGAGCCCCTCTCGTCCCCAGGGGCCCCCGCCACTGGCAGGATCAGACCCTGCTGGTGTCCCCCTCCATGCCCCTGAGGCCTCACTCCCTGGATCCCCTCAGCCCACGACCACTGACCTGTCCCCCAGGACCCAGAGCTTCCAGTCTCTCCCAGAAGGCCGCTGACCCACTGGAGCGATGGACGCTCCGGGCCCCGGGGCAGGTCCCCACCGTCCCCCGACCCCTGACCCCTGCATCTGCGTCTGTTCCCGGCCGAGGATTCGCACCGGCCCGGGCCACTCACGGAACATGGTCATGAACTGCTTGGGCCGGAGGCTCCAGTAGCCCCAGCTGGTACGGTAGCCGTGCAGTGTGGCATACTCCTCGTGGTTGTATGCGGGCTCCGTCCCGAAGGTGTCGATGACCCGGATTCGGCACCTGAGTGGGGACGAGGAGGCCGGTGAGCGGTCAGCCCGTCTGCACGCCTGTCCCTGGTGGTCAGCCTGTCTATGTGTCCTCAAGCGAGTGTCCCCCCCGTCTCTGGGCCATCCCCACACCGTCACGTGGGCTGCCTGCCCAGCCCGGCAGGATGACTCCAACCCTCAGCACCACCCGAGGGAGGCTGGGAGAGGGTCCGGCACCCCCGCCCTGCGGCCCGGGGGCACCTGCCCCCTGTCCCGGCCCGTACCCGGGTTGCCGGCTGCCCCGAGAGGGCAAGTAGGAACACATCAATAACAGAAGCGATGACGCGGCAACACCTGCCTCGAATGGAATCACGCGGAGTCACGGGCTGCGCCAATGTGACAAACGGCTTCTCAGTCGCCCCAACACCAAGGGGTGCTGCCTAGGGTCACTCATGGGCCCGGCGGGCCTGGGGGGGGGCTCTGTGGGGGGGGGGGCAGTGGGCAGAGCGTCCATCCCAAGCCCCAGGGACAGGACCGTGAGAAGCGCAGAGGGAGGGGCTGCATGTGCCCCCTCACCGGTACTTCCTGAAGGACAGTCCCATGTGCTGGCGCATCTGCTGCAGGCCGTGGTAGTCCGTGTAGATGAGGTCGAACGGCAGGGGCGCGGTGAGTGGGCAGCTGCCCCGGCCTGGCGGCACCCCTAAGTTACTGAGAGAGGAGCCCTTCAGAGTCGGAGTCCCGGAACACCCCGACTCCCCTGGCCCGGCAGAAGTGGGGTGGGGGGGGCAAGAGGCTGGGGACGGGGCGGCTGCAGGGGTGCGGCTGGGACCAAGTCTCCCTGCCCCCCCCGCCCCCCGGGGGAGGCAGAGCCTTTGCTCAGTCCCACAAACATCCTCCGGACCAGCGGTGTCCACCTTCGTCCACACCTGGACCTGCAGGGGTCCTTAGCTCTGTTCCAGGGTTCGGCTGTAGCTGGAAGCCCCAGAGGATATAACTGACCCCTGCTGGGCCCTGGACCACCACAGGCCATTTCCATGAGGTTCTCGGCTTGTCCAGGCCCCTCAGAGATTCCTCTGGAGCCTCGAGGCCATAGCCCGCCTGGCCCCTCCCTGCCAGGCTGTAGCAGCATCCCAGACCCCCAGGCACTTCCTTGGGTGGAGGTGGGGAGAGAGGGACACAGAGCCTGTCACAGCCCCCTAGAGCCTTCCCTCCTCCATTCCTGGGGCCCCTCAGCCTCCATCCACCACTCTTAGATTCATGATGCCCAAATGAGGACTGGTGCCCCAAAGTTTCCTGGGGACTTGGGGATCCCTCAGTTAGGGGGCTCTCTCTGCCCAAGCCGATAGTCCACAGGTGGGAGGGATGAGTTTAAGGGCTCTGAGCACTGTCCCAGCTTGGGCTCCTCATGGTGGAAAAGTACCCCCCAGGCTCTGTACCCTGTGACCAGGCCTCCGGAGTGACCATCCGGAATGACCGTCATGGCCCGGACAGGGGTGAGGAGACGCTGCCTGTCTCTGCCTCTAGCCCTGCCGGTACCTCATGCACTTCATGCTTCTCAGTGTAAAGTAAAAAATGGTCCAGAGGCTTCCTCCATCTGCACGGCCCCCGCTCAGAGCCCCCCATGTCCGGTGTGGAGGGGAAAACACGCAGATGGGAGGCCTGAGGGGTCCCAGGGCAGCCCCTGAAATACTGGGTGGCACTTGGCGGTGCTGCGGACCCTGCGTTCCTCAGGGCGGCTCCTTTGAAGTTGGACTTCTCAGCCCCAGCCTCTGCCCCCTAACCTGCTTCCCCCCCCCCCGAAGAGGCATTGGGGCCTGTGGACCCTGGATGCTCCAAGCTACCCCCTCTACTCTGCTCAGAACCAACAAGGATGAGCGGCTGGAGGACCATACAGCAGGGTGTTTGTTCGGCACCCCATCCGGTCCCCCAGCCCTGCCTGGAGGTAGGGCTGAGCACAGAGCCAGGAGTCAGCCTGAGCACGGCCGGGTGGGACCCCTAAACGAAAGCAAACCACCAGAACCACGAAGGATGAGGAGGTGGCACAGGAACAGATGGAGGGGGCCCTCTCTGTGGGGCCTGGGGACACGGAGCCTCTTGCAGAACCTGCAGCCCGGGAGCGTCGGTTTGCCCCTGCCATGTGCCGAGGCAGCAGGCTGTCCTGGAGACCAGAAAGTCACAGGGCTTCCTCGGGTCACCCCACGAGGACCACACCCCATTCCAGAAGCGCCCAGGCATGGGAGGGGCTGAGAAGCCCATTGATGGCTGAGGGTGTGTGCACCCTCAACAAGGCAAGGGGAAAACACCCCGGAGCCCCCGCCCACCACCGCCACGCCCCCAGAGGCCCATAGCTACGCCCACCAGGCAAGCACCCACCAATCACCCATCACCCGACCTCCAGGACCCCGCCCCCAGAGGCCTGTAGCCCCGCCCACCAGACACGCAGCCACCAATCGCCCATCGCTCCTGGAGGCCACGCCCCCTCGCCACCTGCTCACCTGGCGCCCTGCCCACCAGGCACACACCCATCAATCGCTCCATCGCCTGCCCACCTGGCGCCCCGCCTGCCAGCCCCACCCGTCCCTGCCCACCAGGCACTCACCCACCAATTGCTCCATCGCCCCCCCACCTGGCGCCGCCCCTCCCCCACTCCCCCCCCCCCCCGCACCCCCGCAGTCAGGTTGAACAATTTCTGCACTCCCCGTGGACAGAAATCGGCTCTCCAGGCGCAGCGCACATTCTGGAGCAGACCTCGCTCCTGTTGCTCCTCTGCGTGGGAAGGACCCAATTAGAGGAATCTGCAGGAGGATTGGCGAGCAGCGGGGCGTGCAGGGGACAGCTGTCCCCGCGGGCCGCTGCTGGGGGTCCCTCTGCATCCTCTGACCCGGCACCCTCTCCCCCAGGACCGGGATCAGCCCCAATAAGAGTGGGAGGGACCTGGGATCCTGCGTGCCATCTAGTGCAGTAGCAGACCCCCGGCCCCCCTCCAGAAAACAGGGTCCCGCCAGGTCCCCCCCACCGCAGATGGGGGCGCAGAAGGAAGCCCAGGGCAAAGCAGAGGGAGGAGCCTACAGCCACCCTGCAGGTGGGGCCCAAGGAAGCAACCTCCAGCAGGCTCAGGGCGCCCCTCGCTGACACCCCATTTCCCAGTGCAGTGCTGAGCTCGGCGACTCCTCCAGTGGATGGGAGGGCCGGGGGTGCTGCCATGGCAGGGACAACACCACACGTCCATTTGCTGCCCCCTGCATCCCCCCATCTTGCAAATGGCCCACCTCTAAAAAACTGACTTCCGGATCAGGTACAGAGGTGCCCGCCCACCCACGGGCTGTGCCCGCTGTGTTTGTCGAGCAGGTCACACTCTGGGGCGCCACCTTGTCACTCTGGGCCAGACCAGCAGGGCTCAGCTCTCCCGGGTTGGCCTGGGATCTCAGGTCCTCCCAGGGGTGCTCCAGCCGCTCTCCCCACCCTCAGCACTGAGCGTTTCACCCCCCTCCCTCTATTGCTGCCTCAGGGCAGGGCTGCACACTGGCTGCAGCGCTCAGGGCCTGTCCGATCCTCACTCCTCAGAAGCGCACACAGAACCCGGCCCACACCCTCCCTCCTGTCCCTCCTCCTCCCACCCCTTCTCCCTGCAGCCTTCCTCTTCCTTGGGGCTCAGCTGGGCTCTCAGGCTGCTCCACACAGAGGCAGGGGCCCTCCTGTGCCTGTGCACCCACCACATGACTGTCCCAAATTCACGTCCCTCATCCACACAGTCTTCCCACGCCCCTGCTCTGAGCCGGCCAGGGCGCCGCGCCTGAGCCAGCCCCAGCCCAAGCTGCCCCCCAGGCCTGCAGTCCTGACAGTTTGGCTAAGAGGCAGGAGTGGGAGAAAGGAGTGTGTGTGGGAGGGGGCTGGGAGTCCTCTGCAGCGGGGTCCCTCCCTGGAGTCTCCTTCCCTTGAGCGAGCCACGCCCGTCGGGGAGGGCAGGGAGGCGGGTCCCTGCACCCAGCCCCCCCCCACACACACACCTCGGCCTTATCTAAACATCCCCTCACCAGCTGCCATCATTTGCCAGTTAAGTCAACTAATTTTCTACTAAACCCAATTTCACTCATGGATGGAGGAAGAGCTCCGTAATTTTTCCTCATGCCATGTACTATTAATGATGCTTGAAATTATGCAAATAAAATTGATGAGCACAGCTGAGCAGGCTGGCCACGGCTGGGCTCAGGATGGCCCACGGGGGGCGGGGGCCACAGCGGTCCAGATTCCCCTCCACGTCCCACCCGCACAGCGGGGCAGCGGCGACCGCGCTGAGGGACGGGGCCCACCCAAGGGCCTTCTGCAGCTGCTGGGCCTGGGTCAAGGCGCAGCGCATGGGGGCAGGGGAGTAGCCCTGGGCCCGCCTGGCCGCCCCGCTACATCCAAGGGCCGCCCCAGGAGGGCCACTGCTCTGGTCGGCCAGATGGTACTGCCCCAAGGCCCCGCATGACTCGGGATCCAGATGACCGTCTCTCCCGCGAACTCAGAAACGGCCGTATGGCAGGGAGTGAAGCTGTGTCTGCCCCCAGACCCGGCTTCCTCCTCCCGACGCCTACCCGGGACTCAAGGCTGGGTGGGGGGGCACCGGTCCCCTGTTACAGTGATGCAGAATGCAGCTTTAAGGGCTGGGGACAGAAAGGGAGTGGGGGCAAGGTCTGGCAGACTTGGGGGTTGACGGATGCTGGTATTGCGTGCAGTTGGGACCCCCCCACCCCATAAAAGCAGAGTGTGGAGAGTGGCCAGCAGGAGGAGGGTCTCGTCAACCGGACCGCCAGGGTGCCCTGGGCTCCAGCCAAGACCCCGCCCGCCCCTGGGAAAACTGCAGCTGCAAGGCTAGGCTGCGTGCAGGGGAGGGGCTGGGGGCTGCTGAGGGCCCAGGACAAAGGGTGTCTGAGCACGGGGCGGGGGGGGGGGGGGGGCTGAGGGGCTGAGTTCTGAGGCAGCAGGGGCGAGGGCTCGGGGCTGGGGCTGGTGGGCATGCAGAGGGCAGGGCGTCCTCTCTCTGTACTGACCTTCCAGGGCACTGGGGGACGGGCCAGGGCAGCTGACACCTACTGCCCACAGCCCAGGCTTCAGTGTAGACCCCGCGCTCCAGGGGAATGGGGTGCGGTCATTTGGGGGTCATGGCTGGCAGAGCTCAGGGGAGCCTATGGGGAGCCCTATGTGGGTGCTGGGGATCGAATTGGGTGAGCCACGTCCAAGATAAGTGCCCGGCCCGCCGTCCTGTCCCGGGGCCCCGTCTCCTTTCTCTCTGGTCTTTTGAGCTATTCTAAAACTGTAGTTGGGTGGGGGCGGGGCAGAGCGATAGTACTGGCACACAGCCAACCCGGGTTCAATCCCCGGCATCCCATAGGGTCTCCCAAGCACAGCCGGGAGCGATTCCTGAGCGCAGAGCCAGGAGTAACCCTGAGCATCGCTGGGTGGGGCCCAAAAAAACAAAACAAAACAAAACAATACAAAACAAAATAAAAGCGTCGGTGGGGTGGGTTTGGAAAGCCTTTCCCAGGAGGCGGTTGAGGTGGCCAGGTTGGTGACACCTGTCCTGACAGGCTCGTCCACTGCCGGAGCTGTACAGGCACTCAGAGAACTGCAGGTTAAAGCTGGGTGCCCCTGCCTGGACCCCACTCAAGGCCTGCAGGAGCGGGGGTGGGTGGGCGGCAGGAGTGTCAGTGGGAAGACAGGGCGGGGGGGGGGGAGGCGCACAGAGCCACGGGCAAGCACACGTGCAGTGTGCATATTCAGGTGTACCACACACACCTGCACACCTGTGCGTGCAGGAAGGTGTGTTCAAACGTGCGCTGTGTCCCTCAGTGCCTCTGCCGGTCACAGGAAGGGGATCTGGAGAGCCAAGGACTGAGACCCACACCTCTGGGGTACTGGGGGGGGGAGCAGGAGGAGGGGGAGGAGGAGGGAGGGTAGGGGTGGAGGGAGGAGAAGAAGGGGGGAGGGGAGGAGGCCTGGGGCAGGTCTCCCAGCGTGGCTGGACCCTGGCCGAGGCCTGGGACCACCACAGGCACAGGGCAGACAGCTGGGGAGGGTGAGTCTCGCCCTGAGGCAGGTGCCCTGGGGGTGCCGAGCACCCCAGCAAGGAACTGCGGGGAGGCCCAGTGGGGGGAGGGCCCGGAGCCCACCTAGCCCCCTCTCCCACTGCACCTGGGCGCTGAGGGCCAGCTGCCCACAGTCTCTGCAGGGCCACTTACAAGATGCCCAGTCTCCTCCCCCTGCACCCCACCCCAAGCACCCCCTGCCCCCGCACCCCTGCCCTCAGCCCGCCCTCACCCCTGCTCCTCCTCACACCTCTCCGGAGTCTCTGGATGGGACAGAGGCTCCGGGCACAGCTCCAGGCCTCGGGTTCGAGGGAGCCGGGGTGGTCACAGAGTGCTGCCCGGTGCCTCACCTGCTCTCCAGGGTCAGCGGCTGGATGTGACAACCCGATGGCCGCAGGAGTCAGGCGGGGGTGGGCGGGGAGGGGGAAGCGCGTGTGCTGTCCCTGCAGAGTGGCCAGGGCCAGAGCTTCAGCACCCTAGTGGACAGCCCTGCCCCAGGGTCCCTCAGGGCGTGCCGAGGTCCTCCCCAGCCCGGGCGGACAGCTCCCTGTACTGTGTCCCCACCTACACCAGGTGACACTCAGGACCCCTTCTGCCCTGAGCTCAGGGGTCAGTCCCAGCTGTGCTGCGGTACCAGGCAGCGAGCGAGGCTGGCGCCCTGCCTGCGGGCCATCTCGCGGCTCCCTTCTCTGCCCCCCAGGCCTGTGATGAGGTCACTGGGTTTCCGGGTCACAGGGAGCTGGGCAGGGGCTGAAGAGCTGCCCAGACCAGCACGCTGTGACTATCTCTGTCCCCACTGGACAGTCCACTGGGCACCAGGAAGAGACGCTGACCAGGCAGCGATCTGGTCTGCGGGATGCCCTGGACAGCAGCCCCCTGCCCTCGCCACTGGCCAGGATGACGGCACCCCCAGCACTCAGGAAAGAGGTGGAAACTGATGACAGTAAAGACTGCTGCCCCTCTGTCCCTCTGTCCCTCGAAACAGCCAATAAGATGGAAAAAGGAGCTTCCCGGACACTCCCAACTCACACCGGCTTGTTCCCTCCCTGCCTAAATCCCCCGAGCATTCAGTAAGGGCCTGGCAGCCTCTAACAGGAACGCAGCAGGGGAGACGGCGGGCGTCCCGCTGAGAGGAGGGACAGACTGGACACTGGCCCCACCGCTGGTCCGGGAAGCAGGGGTCAGCAGGAAGAGGGGGGCGCCCACCGAGATGCCGCCCAGGCCAAGGGCTCTTAAGCCGTAGGAAGAGTGAGCGACCGTGTGTGTGTCAGACCTGGTGGCTCCCCATCCAGCCGCGGGGTGACGGGTGGGCTTCAGTCTGTGCCCCCAACTGGGCGGCCACCCCTGGTCAGGTGGAGTCTCAGAAGCCCTGAGTGGTGAGGGGGAGAGGGGCCGCGTCCCCTGGAAACCTGACTTCCTGCTGGTGAGTGCGGGTCCCCAGGACTCGGCACTGAGCCTCGTCCCCGTCCGGACCCCCGGGAGGAGCCGCACGACACGGTCACCACCCCAGCACGAGGCTGGGCTGGACAATGGCTGGACACAGCCCAGAGGGGCCACACGTGTGCAGGAATAGGCCGGGGGTGCGCTTCCTCCAGGGGGGCCTCAGTGGTGCTCAGGGAGCCCCGGGCCCCTCCCAGCAATTCTTGGCTGGGGGGGGGGCCTGAGAGGTCCTGAGGGTCCCTGGCTGCCTGGGTCACCAGTGCTGGGGATGGCCAGGCCCAGCAGGCCGTGCTCGCTTGGAGGCCGCATGGAATCAATGGAACCGGGTGAGATGCAGGCCTCACCCCGGTACTGTGGCCCAGCCTGGCCCAGAAGCACTCTCAGAACCAAGCTACAGACACCTCAGGGCGGGGCCAGAGCCCCAAACCAACCAAAGTCCCAGGAACACGTTCATGGGCTCGAAAACATAGCCACTCGCTGTCGCATCTCACTCAGGGAACTGGGTGGGGCTGGGGGAGACTCTGGTGGGGACAGCACCTGCCTTACCCATGCCTGACCCTGGTCTCAGCCGGGCATCTCACACAGGGTTCCCTGAGCACAGAGCCAGGAGTCAGCCCTGAACACTGCTGGGGTGTCCGAGAAAAACAGAAAGAAAAAGACGGGCGGGCGCCATAGCACACAGGGAGGGGGTTTGCCCGCATACATCAGACCCAGGTTTGATCCCCACATCCCATTGGGTCCCCCAAGCACTGCCAGGAGTGATGCGTGAGTGCCGAGCCAGGAAAACCACACGCATGTCTACACCGCACAGAGCGGTGATGAAGTTGCGAGGATAGAGCTCTTCCCTGGGGGACGGTCTGACCCCCCAGCACTGCAGAAACGCACCGGCCCGGTCTCCCTGCCCGGGACACCTGCCCCCCACTCCCTGCATCACCAGGGGCCCCTGGGATGGCAAGCCCAGAGGAGGGTCCCCTGCAGTCCCGGGGGAGGCAGGTCCAGCTGAGGCACCCGCGGGACATCAGGCGACTGACGGGCTCCATCCCATGGGCAATACTTGCTCACAATTGCCCGCCACATGGGCTGTTGTGCACACACACGGGGGTGGGGGACAGGGCATCTGTGGGCGGAGTGGAGCCCCCACACTCACCTCTGCAGCTCCTTCAGGGACACGGTGATGCGCAGCCCATGACCCAGCACGTAGAGGGCGGCCAGGATGTCTGCCCACTGCACCATCTCCCCCAGGGGCCCGCCCTTCAGCACGCGGGGGCTGAACACGTCCCCCGACTCCTCAGTCAGGAAACCGATGTGCACGAGGATCTGCGGGGACACGGGGTCAGCATGGGGATGGTGCACCCACACGGTGGGGGGACCAAGAGACAGAGTGACCAGTGGGTCTGGGGTACAGGAGAGCAAGACGGCCACTTCCTGCCTCAACAGGAGTCCCCTCCCCCCCGACACCCCCAGGAAGAAGTCGGCAAGGGGGAACAGACAAGGGACATTCAGGAAAAACGGTCAGGATGGAGAAATGGTGACGAGGAGCCGCTGTGGTCCAGGTGTGTGGTGAGCGCAGGGGGCTGGACAGTTGGAGACGCGGACACATGGATGAGCAGATGAAGAGGGATGGAGGACAGGTAGGCCTTGGGTGAGTGGACAGACGGATGGGGGCGGGGAAAGGAGACGGACAGACGTGTTGTGGGTAAACAGATGAATGGACGGACGGACAGGCAGATGGATGGATGGACGGACAGACAGGCGGATGGATGGATGGATGGATGGATGGATGGATGGATGGACGGACGGACAGGTGGGTGGATGGATGGAAGGACAGACAGGCGGGTGGATGGATGGATGGATGGATAGGTGGGTGGATGGATGGATGGACGGACAGGTGGGTGGATGGATGGATGGACGGACAGGCAAGTGGATGGATAGACGGATGGGCAGGCGGGTGGATGGGTGGACGGACAGACAGGCAGGTAGATGGATAGCTGGACAGATGGGTGGATGGATGGACGGACAGACAGGTGGATGGATGGATGAATGGGCAGGCAGGTGGATGGGTGGACAGACAGACAGGCAGGTAGATGGATTGCTGGACAGATGGGTGGATGGATGGATGGACGGACAGGCGGGTAGATGGATGGACAAATGGGCAGGCGGGTGGATGGTTGGACAGATGGACAGGCAGGTAGATGAATGGCTGGGCAGACGGGTGGATGGATGGATGACGGACGGGCAGGCGGGTGGATGGATGGACGGATGGGCAGGTGGATGGATGGTGGATAGATGGGCGGGTGGATGGACAGACAGGTGCTGGTGGATGGGTGGATGGACGAACGGACAGGTGAGCGGATGGCAAAACCAACCAAAGTCCCACGAGCTGCCATTAAATTACCCCAACACCCCAAGGAGATGCGGGATTTACTGATAAAAACAAGATGACCAGGGCCGGGGCCACAGTAGGGCCACTCGCCTTGCCCCCCCAACCTCTGCCCCAAGCACTGCCGAGAGTAAACGCTGAGCATCATGGGGTGTGACCCAAAAATGAAACAAAAACCACAAGTTCCACACAACACCAGAGTCCTCCCACAGGCTCGTTACTCCACCCCAACTCTGGAAAGACCCGCCCCCTCCCGCCAGGCCCTGCCTCCCCATGTGCCCTCGTTCCCCCGCCTGCTACATGGAAGCACCCACCTGCTTCTGGTCCCGGCGGACCCCGGCCAGCTTTTGCGCCAGGCGCTGGGCGCCCAGTGCCCACTGGGCCGTGAGCCGCTTCGTCCGTTTCTTCATGAAGATCAGCGACTCCTTCCCGCTGCCCATCAGCTCCAGGAGGTGGGACAGGTTGCTCCGGAAAACAGCCTGGAAGGGCCCGACCTCAGCGCCCATCCCCTGCCGGGGTCAGGCCCAGTCGCTCCCTGGGCACCCCTGGGACCCTTCCCACCTCCCACCCTCCACACTCAGCCCCTGCCAGTGTCCCCAGCCTTTGGGGCAGCAGGTGCCATTGACGCTGGACATGGTGTGTCCAAACCCCAACTATGAATAACTCTGAGTCAAGGTGTTTCAATACAATGTTTTTAAAAAAAATCAGCCCGCGGGGGTGCAGCAATAGCACAGTGGGGAGGGCGTTTGCCTTGCACGCAGCCAAGCCCGGTTCAATTCCCAGCATCCCATATGGTCCCCTGAGCACCGCCAGGGGTGATTCCTGAGTGCAGAGCCAGGAGTGACCCCTGTGCATCGCTGGGTATGACCCAAAAAGAAAAAAAAATAGCCTGCATGAAGACCCGGCCAGCACGGCCACAAAACGACCATGATGGGTCATCACAGCCCCAGGGCCCCACCTTGGGGCATCGGTATGAGAAAGGGCCCCCCCAGCAGGCGGCTGGGACCTACTGGCCCCTGCTGGTCTCCTTTTCTGGGGTCAGCCCTGGCCCCCGCTGACCCGCCTGGCCCGCAGGTGTACCTGAACCCTGGGGGGCGTCTTGGGGGCCGCGTGCGCGGCTGTGCGGTTCCTCCAGGGCAGCGTGGGGCAGAACCACTCGACCTCGCTGAGGTAGACGAGGAAGGAGCACTCGGTGCCGTCCACCCCGAAGAAGGCATAGCAGGGGTCCGAGGTCCAGCGGGCGCGCATCCACTGTGGGCGGGAGGCCCCAGGCAGGGGTCAGGAGGAGCGAAGGGCCGGGGGTTCGCGATGGTGTGGGGTTCGAGGCAGGGCACACGGCCCGGTCCTGGGCGGGGGGCGCAGGGACGGAGAGAGCCCGCCGCACCCCTGTCCCCCTAACCCTGCCGGCCCCAGCCTCACCTCTACCTTCCCGGAGCAGTCGGGGAACTTGGGGTCACTGGGCGCCTCGCACTGGTCCCTCCGGCCCTCGGCCACTGCAGGGGAGAAGGGGGGTTGCAGGGCCGGACTCCGGGGCGAGCCTGAGGACTGACCCTGGGCCTGGCTGCGGGGAACCCCAGGCCGGAGCGGCCCCTCCGCACCCTCCCGGGGCCCCCGCTGGCTGGTGCTGGTGTGCAGACTCCACACCCCAACGCACCCCAACTTTTCCCAAGTGGGCAGAGGGAGGAGGCTCCTGGGGCCTCAGGGTCCCCTGCACCCTCACGGCCCTAGGGCACGGTTCCACATGGGGGAGCGAGGCGCGTGGTGGGGGGGTCGGGGCGTGGTGGGGCGCGGGCCGGCGTGGTGGTGAAAGGCGGGGCAGGGCGGGGCGAGATGGGGTGGGTGGGGCGGGGCGGGGCCAAGGTGGGTGGGGCGGGGCTAGGCAAGGCGGGGGACGGGGCCGGGCGCTGTGAGGCGGGGCAAGGCGTGGTGGGGCGGGGCGGAGACAAGGTAGGTGGGGCGGGGCGGGGCGGGCAGGGCCCGGAGGGGCCTGGGGCGGGGGCGTGGCGTGGCTGGTCAAGGTCGGGTGGGGACAGGACGGCCCACCCTTGCCGTGCAGGATCAGGCTGTGCTGCAGGATCTGGTCCACCTTGGCGGCGATGTCCGACACGTTCCGGGCGATGGCCTGGATGCGCTCCAGGAGGCCGGCCTCGGGGGGCAGCCTGCGGGACAGGGGCGGGAGCCTGCGGGCACCTCCCGGGGGGCCTCGGCCGGCCCGGGGCGGGACAGGGCCAGCCGGCACTGAAACGCACCCTCAGGGGAGCAGAGGGCAGCAGGCCGAGGGGAGAGGTGCCGCAACCCTGGGGCCAGTCACGCGGACGCTAGGACCAGAAGCCCGCCCGCCCCTGCCCACTTGCGCCCACCCGCACCCGCGCACCTGACTGAGCCCTGACCGAGCTGCGTGTCTACTGAGCGGTGCCAATGGTGCCCGGCCAGGGGCCACCCGGCAGCTGACGGTGCCCAGCCTGCAGGTGAGGCCTGGGGCCAGACACGCGGGTTGCCCTGCAGTGTTCCCCCTTTCCTCCCAGGCTGACCCCACAGCAGCCCGGGGCCCTGACTAACGTCAATGGGGTCTGGTTCAGGACAGACTCAGGGGGCTCGGGGGCGTGTCCCCGGCGGAGGAAAGCGACTTCCTGGAGCCCCAACCACGTCCACAGGGCCAGGAGCGCGGCCTCATGCACGGCCCCTCCCAGGGACCCGCCTCCACACACCCTGGCAGGGTCGCGGGTCACCATGTCGCCCTGCTGTCCTCAACAGTGGGCACAAAGGCGTTCCTCCATGTGCCGGCTCTCCCCCACCACTCAGAAGCACAAAGGGACACGGACACGTGTATACACGCATGTGCACGTATGCACCGACACACGTGCAGTCTAGACAACTTGCTCCTAGCTGGTGTTGCCTTCCACCTCGCTCCTGCCTTCCCGCCATCCCGGCCAGGAGCCTGCCCCGCCCCGGCTGCCCCCCGCCCAACGCCTGGAACTGACACTTCCTGGCCCTGAGGAGCACTGTACTGGGGGCAGTAGGGAGAGGGTCTGACGTCCCGGCCTCCCACCATCAATGAATGGGGTGAGGGGGTGTCGCTCCCGCAGGGCTGCCTGCTGAGCTGGGGCGGGCACCACCTGACTCCGAGGGGCCCTTTCCCTGACGACAGCCTCCCCCAGACGCCGCCAGGGGCACGCGTGCCAGGAGCTGCACATGGGCGGGAACACCTCCCCTCTGGGTCTGACTCCAGTGTTTCTGCTGCTCACCCCAGGCTCAGCCCCGTCACCCCACCCACACCCTGAGCTGCGGGTCCGAGCAGGGGAGCCAGGACGGCCCCGCCCAGGGGACAGCAGAGGGTTCCTCGGCCCCCCACACCCACACACATCACCGTCCACCACTGTGCCTCCTCACTGCCCGTCCCCACCCCATATCACACCCACCCACCCCCTCCTCCTCCCCCATCCCCCACCAACCTACTCATTCATCCGCCACCCCCACCCCCACTCATGCATATACAACTGAGGCAGACAGACAGATGGGTGGGTGCGTTGGTGGCTGATGGAGGAGTGGGTGTGTGAGCAGGTGGATAGAGCAAGAGGCGGTGTGGGGTTCTGACAGAGCGGGGTGCAGTGTGCAGTGGGCCGTGCTGAAGACTCACAGGTGACATCTGAGCAAACCTGGAAGATGGGGATGGAGGAAACACTGGCAGGGAGAAAGCCCTTCGGGGGCGGGAAGGACGATGTGGATGGCTAGGCTGTGCAAAGGGCCTGGGGCCCCAGGGAGGAAAGCTGAGCCCCAGGCACTTCTCAAGGGCTGCTGCTCTTGAGAAGGTGGGAGGAGAAGACACCCCAGGCATTGTGGGGCCACAGCAATGAACCTCACCTCTGTCTGCATGAGGCAGGCAGAGACACCTGGTCTCAGTACTTGGAGGGGGGGCACTCCCTATGGAGATGGGGCCGTGGGTGACCTTGGATCAGGCTGGGGGCTTGGGGTCTTCTTGTGGATATGGGAACAGAGGAGGGGGCCTCGGGGCAGGTAGGGGAAGGGGGCAGCTGCAAGGATGGGGTCCAGGCTCTGGGCCTGGTGGGGGGGGAGGGGCAGTGGACGGGGCGACCAGGGACACAGGCCCACAGGAGGCCAGGCTCGAGGCCATCAGGGCCATGGACCGTGGGCCGGACCAGGTCCATAGCGCCCTGATCAGGCCCTCGGGTCCCAGGGTCTGGGTGCAGTGCCCAGCTCGGCCCAGCTCCCTCCCTCTGATGAGAGCCCAGAGTCAGAGGCAGGAGGGGAGATCGAGGCAGTGAGGGCGGCAATCTCCCTGTGGCCGGGGTCCCTTCAGGCAGGAGGCAAGGGCCTCCGGCTGGGCCCCTGTCCCGGGCTCCAGGGTAAGACAATGAAGCCAGGAAGCCGTCCCTGCGAGTCTGCAGATCAACCTGATTGTGTCTCTCAGGCGCCAACGCTTTCACGCTCCCCGAGGACACACACCGACCAGGGCTGGGAGGCCCCGTCCAGAAGCTTCCAGAAGGGCAGAGGGGGAGCTTCTTTCTACAACTCAGTTTCAAAGAGTGGGATTCCGGGGCCAGAGACAGCAAGGACCGGAAGGACAGCGGTGAGGCTGACGCAGCGGAGGGGTGACAGTGGAGAGGGGGACCCAGAGAGGGGGCGACCCAGAGGGACCCACTTGGCTGCCCGGGGGGTGCGGGGGGCAGGGGCGGCCCGAGGCACCCCCGATGCACCCCCGTCTCTCTCCTGGAAGAGGTGATGGCGCCCCTGAAGCTGATGGCACGGCCCGGGGGGCTGACAGCACCACCAGGGATCATGGATGGATGCGGCTGTTTCCCAGGGGACACCTCATGCCAGCACACAGCCTCGGTCCCAGGGGACAAGCCGAGGCACGTGGGGACCGAACCTCAGGGCTGACCACAGAGCAGGAGATCTCTGTGCAGGAACCCCGGCCACCACGGAGGTGGCCTGGTGTCCCCAGAGCCTCGGCCCAGGGATGCGTGTGGGGGTTAAAGGCAGGGCGGGGCCGTGCGGGGCCTGGCCGGGCTTGGGAAAGTCACATACCATGCCTGTGCGAGTGCACATGCGAGTGCATGAGTACATAGGGCTGTGAGTGTGTGTGTGTGAGTGCGTGTGTGAATGTGTGTTGCGAGAGTGCATGGTGTATGTGCGAGTGAGTGTGTGTGAGCATGTCTGCACGTGTGGACAAGAGTATCAGCACATATGTGTGCACGAGTACGTGAAGGCAAGTGTGTGCATGCATGTGTGTACCTGAGCGTGGATGTGTACGTGTGTGTAAGTGTCTGAGTGTGAGTCAGAACAGAAGTGCGCGTGGATGTGTATGCTGCATGTGGGGTGAGTCTACCTAGGTGCGTGTATGCGGGTGAGTGTATGCATAAGCGTGTGTGTGCCGTGCGTGCGAATGTGTGTGCACTGAAACACATGCACGTGTGTGAACGATGTCCTTGTGTGCATGTGTCCATGGGAGCCCCTAGTCCCGGGCAGTTACTGGCGCCCAGCGGGCCCTGACGGGGGGGGGGGGGGGTGTGTGGGGGCGGATGTGCGATTTTTCGTGGGGTTCCCTGCAGGCCGCGGTGGGCACATACACGCGGGGCCGCCCTCACCTGTCCGGGGCCGCGCGCTGCAGCTCGCTGCTGTTCTCCAGCCTGGCCAGCGTGTCCACGCGCTTGCCCAGCACCTCCAGCAGCTCGTTCATCTTGCGGAGGAGCCCCCGGGACTCGGGGCCGCCCGGCACTGCAGGCAGAGTGCGGAGTCAGGTCCCCTGGGGGCTTGGAGCAGGCCCCACCCGGAGGGGGTCAGCAGAGCGAGCTGCACCCGCTGGGCTGACGGGGACCTCAGGTGCAATCTCACCCTTGTGGGCCTCAGCTTTCTCAACAACCTGGCGATGCACAGGGCTGACTCCTGGTTCTGTGCTCAGGGCTCACTCCCGGCTCTGTGCTCAGGGATGACTCCTGGCTCTGTGCTCAGGGCTGACTCCTGGCTCTGTGCTCAGGCTGACTCCTGACTTTGTGCTCAGGGCTGACTTCTGGCTCTGTGCTCAGGGCTCACTCCCAGCTCTGTGCTCAGGGCTGACTCCTGACTTTGTGCTCAGGGTTGACTCCTGGCTCTGTGCTCGGGGCCTGCTCCTGGCTCTGTGCTCAGGGCTCACTCCCAGCTCTGTGCTCAGGGCTGACTTCTGGCAACACTTAGGGGGGCCGTATGGGACCCACGATCTGTGACACTGGCATTGAGCTCTGCGTCCCAGCCCGAGAAGGTCCCCAATTTCTTTTCTACTCCTTCCTGGTCACCAGCACAGCACATGCCAGTATGGATGTGCTGGGCTGGCTGTCCTCCCCATTACCCCCAGTGCCTGTTTCAAACTGTCCTTGGGGTCAGAGATGGTGCAGGGTCAAAGCATTCCTTGCATGTGGCCGACCTGGGTTCGATTCCCGACACCGCATGGGTTCCCGGAAGCCAAGTCAAGAGTGAGCCCTGAGCACCACTGCATGTAGCTCTAAACCCAAGATAACTGAAAAATTTTATTTTGGTTTTTGGACCTCACCTGTCATTGCTCAGGGCTCACTCCTGGCTCTGTGTTCAGCGACCACTCCTGGTGGTATTTGGGGGACCATATGAGGTGACGAGGATAAGCCTGGGTCAGCCATGAGCAAGGCAAGTGCTGTACAGTCACTCCAGCTCCCAAAATAGCTTTTAATAAAATAAATATCTGCTGCAGAGTGATTCCAGGAGAGGAACAGATATAGAATCATTGCATTCATTTGTGGTATATATATATATATATATATATATATATATATGAGACTAATATCCAAGGCCAGGGAAAACATGGCCCAGGAGGACAGGTCAATGGTTGGAAGCTAACCACAAGAGTGTCTGGGGTGGGGGGGCAAAGGGTAGTTAGGCTAGAGAAGGGACCAGTATAAAAATAATCGTTGGAAAAGGATCATTTTGGACAGGAACTGAGTGTTGAAAGTAGGTAAAGGGATATACCTGATAATTTTTCAGCATCTGTATTGCAAACCCTAAGGCCCAAAAGGAGAGAGGGAGAGAGAGAGAGAGAAAGAGAGAGAGACAGACAGACAGACAGAGACAGAGAGAACGAGAGAGAGAGAGAGAGAGAGAGACAGACAGACAGAGACAGAGACAGAGACAGAGACAGAGACAGAGAGAAAGAGAGAGAAGTGTGTGCCATAGAGGCCTGGGGTGGGGGGTGGGAGGGAAACTGGGGACATTGGTGTGGGAAATGTACACTGGTGAAGGGACAGGTGTTGGAACATTGTATGACTGAAACCCAATCATGAACAACTGTGTAACTGTGTCTAACTGTAATTCGATAATATATATATATATATATATTTTTTTTTCTTTTAAAGCGACTCCAGAAGACAGAGAGTGGGGACGGAGCTGGGGGGGACAGACTCCCCCGGGGGGGAGGCCACTTCCATCCCACAGAGGGGGGCCAGCACTGTCTGTACAAAGTGCAGGAGCGCCCAAGCCTGAGTCCTCAGGGGACAGCCCCTCCTCTGCCCCAGGAAGCCTCCAGAACAGGTGTGGAGCAGCTGCCGCCCACAGCTACCTGGGGAGGGGGAGGGGGAGTCCCGGCAGACTGGAGAGACTCGCCCCTAGCTACACTCTTTCCTGCCCCCCACCTCCCCCCCCTCTCCTGCCCTCCTGCCCCCGTTCCAGCTGGTTCTCAGGAAGGGGGGGAGCCTTTCCCCACCCCAGACCGTCTAGGCCAGCGACGGGGCAGAGGGCAGAATGTGTGGCTGCCCAACCCAGCTACCCTGGTCCACGCCTGTGGGACACTGGGAGCCCCCCACATACACGCCTTCCCACCCCCCACCCCCCTGTACCTTCCGTGCGGATGGTGAAGGGGGAGTCTCCGGGGCGCCGGGCTGAGAACTGGCCCCCCAGGGATGTCATCAGGAAGCAGAGGGAGAAGAAGCCGATGCCCAGGACAAAAAGCCTGTGGGGGCCGATGGACAGGACAGGGTAAGACCCTGTCACACAGGCTTCCGCTCTGGCCCGTCCCCTGCAGCCCCCGGAGTCAGCCCTGAGCACCGCCCGCGTGGCCCCTGAGTCAAACCCAAGGGAAAACCATCGGCAAAGAGCAGCTGGGGGTGTGGGCGGGGCGGGGACAGGCCCGAGCACCCCCGAGCCTCTGGCCAGTGTGCTCGGGGGAGCGGCGGCAGCCCCTCCGGCCCGTCGGACCCCCTGAAACAAGCACAGCACTGGAGCTTTCATTCTCGGGGGGCTTTAGGGGTTCTGGGGGTCTGGCAGGGCTCAGGACGGAGCAACCGGTGCTTCTCGCACAGGCAGAAGCCAGAGCCGCCCTGATGCACTGTATGCTGGGGGTCTCTCGGGGGTGTTGGGGACCACCAGGGCTGTGCGGGAGTGAGGGGCGGGGAGCGAGCACCATCAGAGGGAGCGGCTGAGCACTGGGCAGGTAAGGGGGCCGGACAGACACTTCGGACCATCCCAGCAGGCCGGGCCACGGCACACACAGGCCTTGCCGCAGGCTGGACGCAGGCTGGACGGGAGCACCCAGCACCTCCGAGGGGGGAGGGGTCACTGCAGATGCCAAGGTCTACCAGGGCAGCGCCATGGGGGCCCCTTCGGAGTCCAGACACCCCCTCGGCTCACCTCCACTGGCTGGGCATGGTCAGTGCCAGTCCACACCATAGACCCGAGAGAGGGGTCACTGCCCAGTTGACCGAGGATCAGGAGCCAGCCCCCAGCCCGCCCGGCACCCAGGCTGCTGCGAGACTGATCCTGGCCCCCAGGAGGCCCAGGGGGAGCCCGAGTCTCCCTGAGGACTTGCCGAGTGACCAGTACTGAAGGGGGCCCTCCCCGAGTCAGGGGGAGCCCCCTGGTACCCCCTGGCCCCCATCTGCGTGCATCTCGGGGCAGGGAGGGCTTGAGCATTCTCATCTTCATTAGCTGAAACTGGCAGAGCAGTATTTAATTAAAATGTGGTCCATTAAAGAAAACACCTAATTGCAGAAGAGAATAAAAGCACCACAAAATTCCCAGCCTGCACTTCAAGGAAGCGACTGGGGTGACCACCCGGAGTGGGCCCAGGAGAGCACGCAGCGGCTACGCCGGGCCCCTCACCAGGCCCCCGCCTTGGCCCCCAAGATGCTCGGGTGGTCTTGGGATGGCATCCGGGGAGTGTGAGGGAGTCGGCTGTGCCGGGAAGATCTCGGGGGGGATCGCTGTTTGCACCCCCAACTTGAGGGTCAGGCCGAGCCCTCGCTGCCAGCCCGGGTGCCCAGAGCCTGGCTGTCCAGGGCACACACGGACTGCAGCTGGCGCCAGGGCAGCCCTCGCTGGCACACCCCGTCTCTCTCCCTCTGCTGTTGGGTCACACCCAGGGGTGCTCAGGCCTGACTCCTACTCTGTGCTCAAGGGTCATACCCGGGGGTGCTCAGGGGACTGGACCCCGGCCGGGGCATGCGCCTTCCCAGCTGTCCTGCTCTGCTGCTGCAGCCCCCTCTGTTAGACCCTCACCCTGGGGGCTTCTGCGAAAGGGGCATTCCCAAGGGGCACAGCCCCGGCGCCCTCTGAGGCCGCGGAAGGAAGGGCGCGACCCCCTCGCCCCAGCCCCGGGGCCCAGAAAGGACAGGCGGACGCTGTCCAAGGTGCTGCCCGGGCACCACGCAGGAAGCAGAGGGCTGGGCGCCCTGAGCCGGGACAGGACAGACGGACAGAGGGACGGGGACACAGGACAGATAGAGGGACAGGGACCCACTTCCACCAGGCAGGGACCTAGGGCAGAGGCTGGGCGCAGAGAGCAGGGGCCACACGGGGTGGAGGCAGGGGCCCGGCCCAGCTCACTCCCCTCCCGGCGGGGCCCTTGTCAGGGTCCCCTCGGCCCCCACATGCTCCTGAGCGGTGTCCTGAGGTCTTCAGGCGGGACCTGCTCCCGCTGGGGCCCCCTGAGCCCCGGACTCTGTCACCTACTTCCCCGAGCGGGGGACCGCGGGGGGCGGGGCTGGAAGGGAGGGGCCTGCACCCCGAGTCCGAGTCCGCGGGTTGCCTACTGCCCGGCTCCAGCCCTGCCCGGCCCCGGGGCGCGCCCAAGCCCCGGGAGGGTCGCGCGGGCGCCCTCCCGCCAGTGCCCTGTCCGGCCGCTGCGGCGGGACAGGCCGCCCGGGGTGGACGGCAGGGCCGGGGGTCTCCGGGGAGCCCCCCGGCCTTGAGCACGGAGCGAGGGCGGGCCGGGTGGCCTCTGCCCCCGGCTCAGTGCTGGGCTCGGGCCGGGAGGGGCGCGGGGAGGTGGGCGGGCCGGCGCGGGGCCCCCCCGACAGCCGCCCCCCGGGGTCCCGGCCCGGCGCTCGGACGTTACCGGAAGGGCCGCAGGGTGACCGGGCATCTCCGGACCACGATCTTGCCATCGGGGCTCACCGTGATCATGGCTCGGCCGCGAGCGCGCGCGGGGGGCGCGGCGGGCGCGTCACCTGCCGTCCCCGCGGCCCGGCCCGCCGGCTCGGGGCCCCGCGCCCATCCCGAGCCGCCGCCGCCGCCGCCGCCCGGGCCGCGCTACGCCGGGACGCGCCGCATTGTTCCCGGGAGCGGCGGCCGCGGCGGGCGGCCCGGAGCGCCCCGCGGGCCGGCGCGCGCGCGCCACCTGCCGGCCGCCGCCCCGCAGCGCGCCCGGCCCCGAGCCGGCGGGGAGGGGCGCCCGAGCCCCCGCCCACCGCCGGCCCCGCCCTGGACCCCGGGACGCCTCCAGGGGTGTCCCGGCACCCGCCTGGCGCCTTCGAGCCTGCACTGACCCGCGCTGACCGGCACTGACCCGTACTGCTCATCACTGACCCGCAATGACCCATATTGACCCATACCGATCACCACTGACCCACATTAACCCATACTGACCACCACTGACCCACATTAACCTGTACTGACCATCACTGACCATCACTGACCCGCACTGACCCGTACTGCCCATCACTGACCCGCAATGACCCATATTGACCCATACTGACCATCACTGACCCACATTAACCCATACTGGCCACCACTGACCCACATTAACCCATACTGACCACCACTGACCCACATTAACCTGTACTGACCATCACTGACCATCACTGACCCTCACTGACCTGCACTGACCCATACTGCCCATCACTGACCCGCGCTGACCCGCACTGATCCGTACTGGCCATCACTGACCCGCAATGACCCATATTGACCCATACTGACCATAACGACCCGTACTGATCCGCACTGACCCATACTAACCATCACTGACCCGCACTGACCCGCACTGACCCGTACTGACCATCAGAGACCCGCACTGACCCGCACTGCTTAGCACTTACCCGCACTGACCTACATTGACCCATACTGACCATCACTGACCCACATTGACCTGTACTGACCATCACTGACCCACACTGACCCGCACTGACCCACATTGACCCATACTGACCACCACTGACCCACATTAACCCATACTGACCCACACTGGCCCACATTAATCTGTACTGACCATCACTGAGCATCACTGACTCACATTGAACTGTACTGACCATCATCACTGATCATCACTGACCCACACTGACCCACATTGACCTGTACTGTCCATCACTGACCATCACTGACCTGCACTGACCCGCACTGGCCCGTACTAACCATCACTGACCCACTCTGGGCCTTTCAGGAGAGGGCAGCAGGGCTCTCCACAGTGGTGGTCCTGTCCAGCGAGGAGAACGCAGGCCGGGATGGGGAGGTTCAGCCCATCTGTCCTTAGCCAGATGCCAGAAGGTTCTGAGGGTGTGAGAGGTCCTTGTTCTTGGGAGGTGTCTTTGAGGTGGGTGCTTTGAGGGCTCAGGCTGGGAGTCCTGTTTCTCTTGTTACCAGCCCTTGGGGCAGGCGCTACCAGTTCCGGGAACACTGGCACGATTTAGCTTTCTTCTGACTGACAGAATGTGCCAGAATGTGCCAGAATATGCCAGAATGTGCCTAAATGTACCGGCCTCAGACATGCCCCTAGCTTCTCTGCTGCTTTTCTTTTTCTTTCGTTCTTTTTCTTTTCTTTATTCTTTCTTTTGTTTGTTGTTTGGGCCACACCTGGTGCTGCTCAGAGCTTACTCCTGGCTCTGCACCCCAGGATCACTCTGGCAGGGCTCGGGGACCATACGGGGTGGCAGGGACCCAGCTTGCTCCGCGAGCACCCTCCCCCGTCCCCCCCTCCCCCCCCCCCCCCGTCGCTGCCCTTCCTCCCTGCTCCGTGCCCCAGGCCCTGCATCCCCTCCCCATCACCTGCTGACTCCTGGGTGCGGCCCCTCCCTGGGAAAACCCACTCAAGACTCAGCCCCGGGCCTTCCCTGTGGGACCCCTGCAAGGCTGCTCTGCGGCTCTAGGAAGCTGAGAATGGGGGTGCGTGCCCGCAGGGGGCACCTCCAAGGCTGCGTCTGCTGGTTCCTGGCGCTAAGACTCCCTTTCACTTCCTCTCCTGTGAAAGGGGCCACACGGGGCTGGAGCAATAGCACAGCGGGAAGGGCGTTTGCCTTGCATGTGGCTGACTCGGGTTCAATTCCTGGCATCCCATACAGACCCCCCAAGCACGGCCAGGAGTGATTCCTGAGTACAGAGCCAGGAGTAACCCCTCAGCATCGCTGGGTGAGACACCCCCCAAAAAAAATAAAAGGGGCCACACTCAGGACCACTACACACCCACAGGGGCCCTGTGATGGGGGCTGACGATCCAGCATCCATGGCCTGGCCGTGCTAGGGACCCCCACGTCACAGTAGTGGGGCTCAGAGTCCCCGTGGTGTTGGGGCTCGAACTCAGGCCTCACCCCTCACCCCTGCCAGATCCTCTTTCCGTTTTGACACTACCCAACGTGCCTGGTGTGTGTGTGTGTGTGTGCGTGTGTGTGTGGTGGTAGGGGGTCAGGCCACAGGACCCTGATTCTGCTGGCCAGCTCAGAGGGCTCAGTGGCAGGAGGCCACTGTCCAAAGGGGGACGGGGGCCTTGGGGGCGGGAGCCTGGGGGAGGAGGGGGTGATTCTATCCGGCAACGCACCTGCTTGATGTTCCCAGATTCACCATCAGTACAGGAGCCGGCGTGGCCCTTGTCCGGCCACTGGGGGGCGCGTCCCTTCCTCTGTCTGCAGACTGGCCTTGTGCGTCCCTCTGTGCCCTCCCCCACCGAGAGAGACCCCCAAGCGCCGCCAAGGGGTGTCCTTGCTCCCATGGAAGCCTGTGTCCGGGGAAATTGCAGGGTGAGGAGGGTCAGTGGTCGCTCCTCTGGGCCTGTGTGCTTAGGTGGTGGGGGGCAGCAGAGACCAGGGACCCTGGGCTTGGACCCTGGGCCTGGTGGGAGGGGTCGGCCGTCTCAAGCCAGGGTTAAAATCAACTAATTTCAGGCACCGCCTGCGCTGAGTAACATGCGAGATCAGTAAACCCAGGAGTGACCCGGTTGTCCCGGGGTCCTGGGGGACAGCCAGGACCCCACCAGCCCAGCCCACCGCTTCCCTGAACCCCCAACTGCAGTGCAAATCCATCTCTCTGCCCTCCCCATGTCCTGGGCCCCCCAGTATCAAGGTTTCAGGGTAGGTTGGAGGGTACAGAGGCGATGGAAGAAGTTGGGCAGGAGCCGCCGTGTGTTGGATGTGGCAGCCTTCCGGGAGGGAGAGGCCGCTGTCCTTTGCCCAGTGCTGGGCAGCACGAATGTCACAAGAGCAGGTTGGGCACGTTGCAGCCTCTGACAGGGCCACGCTCCAGCCCCAGCGGCCAGGCCCAGGGCTGCTTCTGGGCTGGTTATTGTTTTCGTCCTGCGGTGCCTCCTGGGGCAGCTGCTCTGTGTGGAGGGAGCAGGGATGGCCCCCCAGCAGCCCCCACCCAGGCCCCCACTCCCAGGCTTCACGCCGGCAGGGCAGGGCTCTAAGTAGGTCACCGTGTTGTTGAGATTCTACCCAGACGCTCCGGCGGGGAGAGTAGAAACGCCACCAATTCCGAGATGCTCCTTCTTCCTGGAGTGGGGGCCACTACGGAATCCATCGGGGTCTCCCACAATGGTCTGTCCCATCCCCAGAGCGGGCACCGTGCTCCCCTGGGTGCCACAGGAAGGGGAGGCTACTCGGCTACACAGCCGCCCGCTGCCCACTCAAAGGGGGTTCCTGGTACAGGGGGACACGGCCGGGCCGGAGCCAGAGAACAGTGTGGAGGGCGCTGGCCTTTCACACGAGACCCGGTTCCACCCTTGACTTCCCATATGGTCCCACGAGCTCACCCAGAGGGACCCCTGAGTGCAGGGCCTGGAGGAACCTCCGAGCACCTCTGGGTGTGGCCCCTCAAAAATAAAAAATAGGGAGTCAGTGTGGGACAGGTCCTTGATAGAGAAGAGGAAGGGGGGAGGGGAAGGGGGCGTCGGGCGGAAGCCTGGCAGGCTCGACTGGCCCTGTCTGCTCCGGGGATGGGGACATCTTGGGGGCCCAACACGGCACTTCCCGAAGGCCTTGTGTGCAGAGAGCAGGACCCAAGGACCGCAGGCCCGCCTAACAGGAAGCGTCAGAAGGGGGCGCTCTGAGACATAAACACAAATGAGAGTGCAGGGGGACTGCTTCTTGGGTCCCAAGGATGTCCCTGGGGCTGAAGGGACCCAAGGTGGGCTGTGCCGCTTTGGCAGGGCCCTGTCACGCTAAGGGGACCTTAGGCGGGTTATAACCCCAGGAGTTTGGGGGGCTGGAGCAATAGCACAGCAGGGAGGGCGTTTGCCTCACCCACGGTCAACCCGGGTTCGATTCCCAGCATCCCATATGGTCCCCTGAGCACCGCCAGGAGTGATTCCTGAGTGCAGAGCCAGGAGGAACCCCTGTGCATTGCTGGGTGTTACCCAAAAAGCAAAAAAAGAAAAAAAAACAAGACTCTTTTTTGTATTGAGGTATACTTTTTTTTTGTCTTGTTTAGTTTTGGGGTCCAACATGCTCACCACGGCAGTGCCTGGGGGACCCTGTGCTACCAGACACCAAACCAGGGCCTCGGGCTCGCACAGCCTGAGATCCAGTGAGCACCCCCCTGCTGACAAGACTCCAGGAGTCCTGGTTTCCAGGTTCTCTGATGTCGTGACAAATGGAAATATGGTGTCACAAAGAGGCTCAGACTCAGAGTCCGAAAGTAGCACTGTAGCACTGTCCTCTCACTGTTCATCGATTTGCTCGAGCGGGCACCAGTAACGTCTCCATTGTGAGACTTGTTGTTACTGTTTTTGGCATATCGAATACGCCACGGGGAGCTTGCCAGGCTCTGCCACGGGAGTGGCATACTCTCAGTAGCTTGCCGGTCTCTCTGAGAGGGACAGAGGATTGGAACCCGGGTTGGCCGCGTGCAAGGCAAGTGCCCTACCTGATGTACTATTGCTCCAGCCCAGAGTCAGAAAGTAGGGAACTTCATTGGAAAGTAGAAGAGAAAGGAAAAGAAACCCCTCTGGTTGGGAGGAACTTCGTACAGGAGTAAGTTAAGGGGCTGGAGTCATAGCACAGAGGGGAGGGCATTTGCCTTGGACGCGGCTGACTCTGGTTC